TATATATTATATAATTTGGTTGAAATTCGTCGAGTAGGTGCTGATAGGTGTTAAAGGTGGTCGGTGCCACACCCATGGTCCAATTTTGACACCGAGTACTATATAGCCTTTACTTAACAGCTGAGATATTATTTAGTAGATTATCGCACTTTTAGTAGTTTTCAAAATTACCAATATATGGAAAATGGATGGAGTAATCTTTCGATTTTACTGATTTTCACACTGTCGCTGGAGGTGTTCCGTGCAAATTTGGTTGATATTGCTCTATTAGTTTCTGAGATATGTGCATTAGCGTTAGGTGAACAAATGTATTATATTTTGTTACAACTTGTTGCGAGTTGAAAGATAGTTGAAATATTTAAGAGATTTTAATTGATTTAAATTAAATTATAATGAAAATAATTGAAACTAACTTAATTAAAAATGAATATGAATTTAATTAAAGTGAATTTAATTAAAAATATTTAAATTGAATAAAATTACAATTAATTTGATGAACTTCAACTGAATTGCTTGGATGGAGTTCTAGTTAATTTAATTGTAATAATTGACTAAATAAAAATTAATTATATTAAATTAGATTGAATATTATTAAATAGATGTAAATCCAACTTAATCGAATTGAATTTAGCGGAATTGAGAATTGATGAAATATACGAGTAAGTTAGACGAAATTGCAATAGAAAAGCTCAATATATTTATATTTAATTTTTTTTTTTTAATTTATATATGTAATTAAATTACATAAATTTAAATTTCATCCACATGAAGAATACGAAGCAATTTTGGAGAACTCTCGCACAGATAAAGCGACTACTGGTGTTGTATAGTAATATTATATAATATATTAAATATTATATGAGCGTTAAATGAAGTGATTGTTATATGGTCCACTCAATTATTTTTTGAATGATAATATCACTGGCTGTATATAAAAAATAATATATATATATATATATACATATAATATATGACCGTAAATTTCTAGGTCCGATCTAGAGGAGTATTGCTTACTATATATTATGGGCGATCCCCATTTCTTAGGTCGTTACACATATAAAATTACTGTAAATTTAATAGCCAATAGGGATGCTGAATGAGGTAATTGGCAAAGCAATATAAATGGATTGTTGCAAATAACATAGTTAAGTAGTCAGTTTGTGATCTCAGTCATATATATATGACATATTACATGATAATTCAAAAACGAATTCTTCGATTCAATCGACTTTCAATAAAAAAAATCGCAGAATAATGTGATACTATTAAAGCAATTAGCATCATGTACAAATCCCTTAATATTCAGCAATAAAATATACAAAAAAAATAACACACATTCACATTATTAATTGCATTTTTATTTAATAATCATAAAACATTCGCACATTGACGGCTACCTGCTTAAGGTAATACATTTATTTATTCGCCAGATTCAAGAATTCTGCCATAATTTCAACTAAACGACAGTAAATTTTCAGACTGTTGGATGAGGAACCCGTTTTAATGCATTTTAAATTAAAAGCGATCGGCGAAAATTATCAAGAAATACTAATAAATTTTAACAAGCACATTTTGTTGGATGCAAATGCGCGCTGTGAATAGCAATAAAAGTGAAATTAACTTTGAGTTAAACTGTAAAATTTTGGTTGGGCTGATCCGGCAGCGAAGCTAAAAGAATTAATGAACTATATAAGTGCATGTGTGTGTTTTTAATCACATTTACATTTATTTATTCTCGGTTCCACCTTTAGTCCTTAGGCGTTGGTTATAAGCGATTTATAATTAAGCATAATGAAATGGCTAATCAATTTTATTGAGTAGTTTAAGAAAACGCTCAAAAGCTAAAATACAACAGAAAAATAGTTATGAGTATATTCTAGAAAAAGTTAGCAGTTAATAGAGGAAAGAATATCGCTAGATGGCGCTCGTAATCATATGTTAAATGACGTCAACTGGTTTTATTTTTAGAATGTAGTATCAAGAATGTATCATATCTATAAACCTACAAAATTTTTTTAGGCAGATGAAGATTTTTAATTTTTGTAATTATCCATTTTTATACCCTGAAGGTTGGAATACCCATATAGCTGCCATACAAACTGAACAATCGGAATCAAGTGTTTGTATGGAAAACTCTTTCATTTGACGAGGTATCTTCACGAAATTTAGCATGTATTATCATTTAAGGCATTAATCTAATCTCCGAAGAAATTGTATAGATCGGACGACTATAGCATATAGCTGCCATATTAACTGAACGATCGGAGTAAAGTGCTTGCATGGAAATATTTTTTGTTGACGAGGTATCTTCACGAAATTCGGCACGAATTATTGCGTAAGGCAACAAATAATTCTCCACAGAAATTAGCCAGATCAAATCACTATATCATATACCTGCCATACAAATTGAACGTTCGGAATCAAGTTCTTGTAAGGGGCATTTGTATTTGTGAAGGGTATTATAGCTTCGGCGCAACCGAAGTTAACGTTTTTTCTTGTTTTCCCCTTTAAGAAGCTGTTCATTTGACGAAACCGATGATATCGGACCACTATAGCATCTAGCTGCCATACAAGCTGAACAATCGGAATTAAGTGCTGCTATGGAAAGCTTTCCATTTGAGATATCTTCAAGAAATTTGGCATGAATTTAGTCGGAATATGACACAAATTTCATTCGATTCCAGACAATTTGGAATAAGTGATAGCTTTGAGGTTGATCAACGTAGCTTTTTAAATTTGAAAAATATTTTTAAATTCGAATTAAGATTGAATTATCATCGGATGGAATAGAAGGTCATACGCTGGTAGTCTTAAAAATATGGAATCAAAAGTAAGGATAGATAGCTTAGATGCAATTAAACTTACGAATCCAAATAGAGGTAAATGAAAAATATGCGTACATATGAAAGACTTCGATAGTAATTTATTACATAATCAAGTCAAAATAAGTATACTTGTGAGATCTAAGGCTTTTTGCCAATTGGAATGAACAGTGGCTCAAAAAATAAAATTGCTACGTACTTTGAAAAGTTGGTTAATAGACACCTCTAAGAAATGCACTCCAAGTATGAGCTCCTAATTGTACTTGAAAATATCTGGTTTCATAGATTTTGTAGGAAATTTACTGCTTTACGTAAGGATCTTTTGAAATGTTTCGATTAAGTTCAAACTCAACGATATATATAAATTCAATAAAAAATAATTTATAAAAAAATTAAAGTTTATTTTTTAGAGCGGTAAATTAGTAAACAAGACTTTGAGCTTTCTAATTATAACTTTTTTTATCATTGAGTTATAAAATTCTAAAGAAAAAAACAAATTTGGCTTAATATATTCAAATAATCAAACTTTAATGTCTTTTAAACGGTTAGGTTTACGAAACAACCGTAAGAAACCATTTTATAGAGCATTCAACTTCCTACAAGATCCATGTAACGAGATATTTTTTCAAGTAGCTGATAAGAAGAAAAAAAATAGAAAACCGTTAAGCGAAGAACCTTCCCGTTGCAATTAAGAGCTCATACTTGGAGAGCCTTTCTTAGAGGTGAGTATCAACCAATTTTTCAGAGCACGGATCCACTCTAAGGTATGTATATATGAAATGATGACGCGTTGAAAGAGAAAGAGGGGAAATAATAAATTTCTATTGGTTCAGGTTTCAAAAATTTAACAGCATTTTCAAAAGCATATAAAATTTAATTATAAAAATTTTTGGTATTTGGTTTTTTAACCTAAGAGGAAGTGATATATAAATTAGCTGTGAAATGTTAAATCGTAATATTAAATAACAGTAGTAGAATGTGATTTTTCTGATGAGACTTGAAAACTGATTATATGCTTTAAGTATACATAAATCTAATGATTTTTTTTGGTTGGATACGACTTTTCCCATGGCGGCTCTGCATGCATGCATGTACATATACATATGTATGGTATGTTTAAGGGCTTGAGCCAATTCTGGTTGGAACATCGAACATTTACGCGATTCTTTGAGAAAACGGTACATTTTGAATACGAAGTTTCGCTAAAAATTAGTCACGCTATTTAAGATACACTTTTTGAGGTTCCATATAGCATTTTTAAATCATTAACAGAAATAATAAGCAGTATTCGACTATGGCTAAGGATTTCTTAAAGGATAACATCATATCTAAATCATTTCTAATCTGTTAAAAAGTAACCATTTAATAGGGTAGGTCCAAAAAATATTTTTAAGCTTAAAGCAGGATTAGATAGTTATAATTCTACAAGAAATAATAATAACCCTAGTGTGCATAAATTTTACACCTTAAAAAGCAACCAAACCCCACAATTGAGTGCAGGGAGGGCTGAGGTATCAATTAGATATAAAAAAAATCTGTGGTTATATGAATAATAGATTTTAAGCAATATATATACTAAAAATATACCATATTTTATTCTGAAAATATTGTACTTCAAGCATATTGAATACTCTCTGAACAGTATATATTAAGTTTCTCACAAATTTTGTAACACCTGGAAGTTAACGTTGGAGATGCAATAAAGTATAAATAAATGTTCAGCGTGACGAGCTTAGTCGATTTAGCCATATGTTCGCCTTTCTGTAACTGAGGGACTATAGTTTATGAGATATCGATCTGAAATTTAGCACACGTTCTTTTTACTTCAAGATATTAAACCACTATAGCATATAGCTGCCATACAAACTGATCGTCCAAAATCAAGTTCTTTTATATAAGACTTTTGTAGTTTCCACGATATCTTCAGGAAATTTGGCATATATCATTTGCTAAAGCATCGCTTCACTCTCCGATTATATTATTAAGATCAGACCACTATAGCTTATATCCAGGATACTCACTGACAAATAAAAATCAAGTTAAATAACTTTTAATACCATTTTATGCTGTATATTGTGTATTGAAGATACGGTGCAACCGAAGTTAACGTTTTTTCTTGTTTTTTTAATACATTTAATTTTTAGTTACACATACGTTAAATAGTCATTACGCACATACCTTCAAAAATATTACTGCTGTTAACGTCGTTATAAATACTTTTTTGTTTTCGCTTTTGAAAGAAAATTTTAGTTTTTTTAGAATAAACACCGACGGCTCAACGCAGCACACGCAACACTTTGTATAGTATTTAATAAGTTACTAAGGCACTGTTTCAAAATTTGCATATTTATTTTTTGATTTATATTCTATTTGCAATTCTTTTGTCTTGTGATTTATAGCTTGTCGCAATTTGAAAAACATAACACTTTTCAACTTGTCAGTTTTAATAAAAGGTTTCACTATATTCTGCTGAGAGCTCTGAGCAAAGCTGGCAACATCAACACAAATGCAAATTGGCAACTTGCCTACACGAAGAATTCACGAATATGTCGGTTCTGCGAAAAATCTAGCGCTTACAGTATTTCAATGTATTTCCACATACGATATGTTTTTGTTTTCGAAAACCAATTTTAAATTCACGCAAAAATCACCACACGCGTTCAATATACTATACACGCTTCTATATGCACTACCGCACCGCGCCAATGTCGCAAGTGAACTACTCAATGTAGCGCCAAAACGAGCGACTGCTCTCGAGCACAAATTAGCGGCAGCGTCCAGCGCCGACAGCCGGCCAGGTGAGTCGAGTAGGTGCGCAGGCGACTACACAGTGCTGGCGTTTGCTTCCACTTGATTTTACTGCGTGTGTGTGTGTGTGTGTGAAAAACAATAACAAATAAGCAACGGCTAGACCGGTTTTATTGTTTTCTATTTATCTCTTCTTATTTTCAAAGTCAAGTGGGTGGTGCTTGCCTCTAGACTTCCCACTCACACAAACTGGTTGTTATGCTTGTTCGGCCTGCTGTTGGAGTGAGTGCGTTGTGTGTTGTTATTGTTGTGTCATGCGTCTTATTTATTGACTTTGTTTGTGCTGCAGAGCAGCGCGCATGCGATCGATACATTGATTCGACGATCCAATCGATCTTGCTGGTGTTAAAAACTAACGAATAGTCAACTATCTTCCGATCAGATGTGCTGATAGCAAACAGGTGTGCACTGCCGTTCAGTGTTTGTATGTGTTGATATGTGGGCTCGTTATTATTGGCTGTGGTGGTGAGCGGCTCTTACACACTTCGTTTGTCATGATTGGGTGGTGTTGCCAATTTAACATTTTTGTGGGTACTTTCTTTGCTGAATTTGGACAGCAAAAATTTTTAATTTGTAACTTTTATTTAATACTTAATATATTATTTATTTAGTATTTGCTTTTTTACATACTTGTATATTACAACTTCCCATATTAGGCCGCATAATAACAGTATTCACCATGCTTTCCTTTATTGATGATATAGTCGTATTATAAATTTTTTTTTCTACGATTAATTACTCAGAAAATGTTTGAGTAAATTTTTAGATTTGACTCAAGTCTAGGTCAAGAGACCTATATAAACATATTACACCTCAGCTTTAGTTTTTTATACTGGGCACTATCCAGTTCAACTAACTTCATCTGAATAATTAAAAGACATTCATTAAGCGGTAGAACTATTTAGACCTTTCCGATAAGAAAAAAAAATAATTGAAAGACATTAGGAACCATAGGATATACTTGTATGAAGTTCTCTACGAACTGTGTAACCAGAGTGAATACAGGAATCAATTGTATATGTCTGGACACTGCGATTAGTACTAGCAATTTAGGTACATTACTACGATACTGAGTTGATCCTCTCTGTGTCTATTATTGCCTGTAAGAGTAACCGTGAATAAGGTTGATACGGAGAGTCTAACATAAGCAATACCTTTATGTCATATGTATATATGTTCATTATACAAGATTTTTTGGCGTAAGATATACGACTATGAAATATTAAATTCGCTATAACTGTTCAGCACGACGGATACATTTTTTTTGATACTCCACGACAGGCATTTGAACTTTCAGCACTTAAGGAAAATTATAAAAAGTAAGGTTTTGTTAGGTTAAGAGGCTGTTCCATTGCGAAATAGGATCCCACTTGAACAGCTCAATAACGCCGGTCTAATGTCATTTTAAAAATCCTCAGCACATATACTCGTAGATCCTCAAAATCAAAGTAAACAAAGCACTTCTCACACATTTGTTGAAGCAAATAATAGCAATTGTAGATTGTTTACTTGAAAAAACTATTAACAATTTTATTATATATAATATGTACATAAGTTCCTCAAATATTAAACATATGGATATCATCTACGTTTTACTCTGATGCTCGTATCAAAGAGGAACTGCATTTCTCGTTCAAGCTTTTACAACAGATTCCACAGGATTTCAAAGTCGAGCCAGTTTTTTGAAATAGAATACATTTATTTTTTCGAAGATCAGAGGTTGATCTTATAGATGTATATATGTGAAAGCTGTCATAAAATTTCTACCGAAGTTACACCATTGAAATACCCGTAAGAGGAAATAGTAGATTTGGTTCATATTTTTAATTTTTTATTAGCAACTTATTATAATTAATAAGTGTTTTTCATTCCCTAATTTCGAACTTCAAAAACAAATACATATTTCGATTGAGGAGGAACTGCGAAATTATATACATTTTTACTTAGAACTCAATACCTCGAAAAAATGGTTTTATCCAACATCTAGTATTTTGTTAGCTGAATAAATTGTTGAAAACCAAAATGACATAAAAGCTACGTTGGCATTCCCCTTGACTATAATCGATTCCATGGCACTTCAGGAGTCTCAAATCTTGAGTAACTAGTGCCTAGCTACTTACCGATACCATCAATATCGAAAAAAAGTATACAGGTGTAATCTTCTCACTTTTTTAATTTTGAGTTTGAAACAAATTTGACCTCTTTATCAATCTTCTGGCAACACTGTTCAGTGCATGTGTCGAACAGGTTCCACGCATTGTTGTTGCTCCGACAATATATTCTTTATACACTCAGCAACTTTGTTCTTGCATTGTAGGTAATTCATACTCTATTTTTTGTCAACCGCTTGACTCCGCCTTCTACACTCAACTACAGCGCTCCACTCGCACTGTCTGGTGACGGAGACAACATGGCAGCCACCACCAATTGGCGCACAGCAACAGCCAAGTCCACTCATGCGTCGAGAGAAATGGCGGCTGACGGCGTACAACAGCAAGAAACAATAAAGCATGGAATATTGTCGGCACTGTGACACGGTGGAGAAGTGTGAGTGCGAGAGTACGCCGTTGCTGCACTGCTGCACTGTTAACTGTTTGTCGTTGTGTTGTTGTTGGTTATTTAACCGGCACGCTTTTTTACGACGATAATTACCGAATGTAGTACAAAGCAACAAAAGCCGCTTATGTTGTAAAATTGTTTTTGTTTACATTGTTGGCTTGCCAGCGTGTAGATAAATTTATATGCTTGTATATGCCAGCTTGTTGTTGTGCTTGTCGTCTGGCGAGCGCATGAATGAGTGAATCTAAGCTCTTGGGACTTTATTTCACTTGCAAGGGGCTAGAAAAGATGGCGTTTGCCAGACAGCGAACGCGCATGTCATCAAACACACAAACATACGTGCATAAGTTGTGTATATATATATGTATATGTGTGCGTGTAAAATCGGTAGTTTGAACTCTTCGAGCGTTTTGTTGAGTGCTGCTGCTGTTGAGGTCGTGTTAGTGTTAACTTTTGATTGTTTTAAATTATTTTGCACGCGAAGTTTGCAGGAATGCAACGCTTCACCTTGTGGTTGTTGTACATAGCAACTGTCTGTTTGTTTTTGTTATTGCTTATTGCGTGCTCTACTGTCGCATAGCTCCACCAACACTTGAATGGCACGTCAAGTGAATGGCGGTTAATTGAATAAAGTTTTCGCGCACAGAGGGCGAAACAATAAATTTGATTAGCGGCTAAGTGGAAGTTCGCACGTATATAAATTAATGTGCCACCAATTGGGGCTAATAGCACAATGATTAAAAAATAAATAAAGAATTTAAGAAAGGAATGCGTGCATAAAATTATAAGATAAATTGTAAAAGATGCATATTATACCTATTTGCACTTAGGAGTATGTACATACATACATAAATTATTTCGATTTAAGTAATTATATCGATTTAAAATCTAATTTGTAGGCATGCTGAAGAACTTACTGTTATATTATCAACTTAATTTCGAAGAGAAATCAGCACTCAGCATTCAAAAAAAGTTTTATGCAAAAGAATTTATCATTAACGAAGAAAATTTCATTTTTGGCAGATGGCCACGTCAGTATCTTAATAAATGTACGGTATGTTCTGTTATAAAATCAGAAACAGTAAAAGTAAACGCAGAAATTTTTTTTAGCTAGAAGCATTACGTGTGTACATATGTATATATGCATATGTTATCGTTGACACATATGAACGTTTTTATACCCTAAACAGGGTAAATTTCATTTGCAACGAACGCCTCTTATCCAAATGTGAATCAAAAGCTATTGAAAAGTTATTTAGTCCATCGATAAATTATCCAACCATTTTAAAATGGTTTCAAAAAAGCGGGAGATAATACGGTATATAGACTGAACATAAATTTCGACAAAAATTAAAGACAAATTTTCTAAGGGATATCAAACAGCGCCAGGCCATTATAAGTCTTTGAGTCTTCTTGAGAAAAATCAAAAATTTATTTTGAATCAGTTTAAAGCGCAAACCTACTGTAGACATCCAAAAACATTATTTTTTTTTTTGCATATTTTCGGCAGCGTCCATCTAAAGTATAGCTGCTCAGTTTAGCTTTAAAGGCATTTTTCACAAAACCACATTTTTTAAATTTGCTGCAGTTGTAACTCGAAGACAAGTCTTCCGATCGATTTGATTTTTGGTTTATTTTGTAAATGTTTCTCTGTGCAATGACCTAACATTTTTTCATTTGTACGGAAAATGAATTTTTTTGGCCCCCGAAAATCATCAAATTTATGACCACGCATTTAGACATTTTACTAAAGTCGGCCATTTTGTAAACTTAAAATTTTTTTAACAATCAGCAACTACCTTCCGTACAGACTAATAATATTTTTTAATTTTGTTGTCGGAGGTTTTTTTTTTGTCGGTGTAATGCTGCAATCACGGCAGCAGTGTAGGACTTTTTTAGTAACTTGAGAATTAGCGAACAACTCGTTAAATATAATTTTTTTTGAAATTTTTTGTGTGTGTTCATTAATTATATATAAATATATCTTCAATATTTTAAAAAATGCTATGCAGTAGTTTTCTTGAAAAAAATTCGCAAAATTAACTTTTAATTTGATGGCTAAACTGGGTGTGCCCCTTTAACACTTATAGAAAAATCGGACAGAAAAAGTTCGCTTATGAAATGTAAATATATACATATATGTACATATGTGCTTGAACATATAAATAAAAACAATATTTGTAGTTACTGGCTAAAAAAGAGTTAGTTTGCCGTTGGCACATACTTGTATAAGCAACATCAAGCAAAACTTCGTAGTTACCGTTACTTTATAGCAGCAACTATTGATTTGTGCTTATGCAATTTGCCGCTTTTGGAGCGTGAAGTTTGGCATTTACTTAGTTTATGCTGTCGCCTTGTTAAAATTATGTTTAATTTATGTGTCTTCATTAAGATTTAAGTGTTAACGAATCACTATAAATTTATTAAAAATTCATAACATTAATC